GAGCTCCTCGTTCTCTCTGGATGACTTCAAACATCGAACAAAACGAGCTATGGTGCTTGCTCGGTTCCAACGAAACACTACAGCATTCACTAGATGCGTTCCGCCGCCGCTGTCTTTTTCAACTCCATCGATTCCAAGGCGGACATCACTCATCGATTTTGGTTCTTACAAATCGCTAAACCCACGAATTCATGAGCTGCTCGCTGGATATGCTGTCAGAAGAAGAAGAAGAAGGAAAGAAGGATGTGCGCGGTGCGCGGCATATAAAAGCCTACTTCTGGAGCATTGTGGTTTGTCGTCTTACACTACAGTCTTTCTTGCTTTCTCCAAAAACCTACGGTAACAGCTTTCATGGTGTTGGGCTTTTCCTAAGATGCACACTATGGCAATCTATGGTCCTGCTGCTCTGTCCTGCTCGCCTCCAAAATCCAAAGAGTGTTCAGTCGATGGCGCCTGCTGTCTTACCAAAACTACCACTGGTGATTCCATGAGCTCCGCTGCTTTTCCTTGCCCAGCCTTATCGAAAAGAGACCAAGCCGATGAAACGAAGCACTGCGCGACAACAAAAGATACTCATCTCTGCTCGATGAGAGAGACGTGTGCTCGTCTCCCTTGCAAGAACGAAAAATATGCCTGCGCAATAAATATGCAGTCTGTCGGGGTTGATATTACATTCTCAATTCGTTACTAAGAAGGAACATGGTGCTTCTGGCTCATTGGATTTGCCGGCATGGACAAACGTGTGTTGTGCATCGCATATAAAAACCTGTTGCTGGAAGGGTTGACTTCTTTTCCCACACCCAGCCATCAATCTACATTCTTCAAAAGTACAGAAGCTAAATATGTATGGTGTCTGCTCTTCCCAAAAGTCCCCAACGGTTGTGACATGAGTGTTTCTGCTGGATTTCATCCAGTTTCATCAATCCAAAAACATGAAGGTGGTCGATGTCGGCTTCACCTTAACATGCTCAAACTCCTACGGAATTGATAGAGAGAGCAACTCATTAGCAGATATTCGAAAACAGGAAAAGAGAGATTTATGTCGCTGGTCTGAGTGAGCACTACTCGACTCACAGCACATTCTCAAATCAAAAGGACAATCACGAATACATGGTGTGCTCGCTTGTCGGAGGTGCTGACGGCGAGAGACGTGTATAAAAGCTGGTCTTCCAGCTTTGTATTCTTTTACATCACCATCCTTCCGTTTGTCACCAAAACTGGGCACGCTTCATGGTATGTGGTCTGGTGAGTTCAGACGCTGAGACCATATTCAAAATGTGTCCGTGTGTTTCACGAACAAACTGGCTAACCTCTTTCGCCATGGGTGTTTGTCAAAAGCATGTATACAAGAACCCATGGGAGTCGGGTAAGCTTTGTGCACATGATATGTCCAACGGAGCGCTCTATGTTAGCAGTGAAGTGGAAGATGCTGGCTTCTTCAAATTGATACAGCCAAGGTCCCATGAGCCGCTAGTAGGTTCTACGGACGGGCACGTGGAGGTGTGTATAAAAGCTTATCTCACTCTGCAGAGCCTTCCTTTTATGCACATTCGCTTTCGAGCTTATCAAAAGGTTCAACAGATCAGCTTATGTTGTGTTGAGATCCAAAAGCCAACACCTCTTTGCTGATGTCGCGGTGTCTTTACGGCAGGCAGGTGAGCGGCCGCTTCACCCTTTGTGCGCTTTGAATGTATGTCTGTAACGCCTGGACATCGATAAATGTTCAGAACATGCTTCTTTCGCATTCCAAGGTTAACATCATGTCACCGAAGTTTAGCCACCGCGCCGCTATAAACATGGGCCATGACCATATGCCTTTCGGTTTCGAAGTAGTGGGCATTGAGATACGATGATGATTTTAACATGTCCCAAATGGTACAAAACAAAGCCGCCCAGCCTAACTCTATGAATGAGAACTGTAACATTCTTTAGTGAATGTTGTCTTTTGTCAGTCCATCCTGAATCTTGTCAAACACCAAATCTCTTCCAATTCGCCGGATCATCTCAGCTCCTTGCATCATTTCTAGATCGCATTCTCTGCCTTTCTTACGCTTCCTCCGCAACACTAATCTCAGTCGTCTTCCTACTTGCCCCATCACCCAAGATATTTTCTTCACTCGAATTTCTAGCTCCGCATGGACTGAGGTGACTCCTACTTGTCCTCTTTCCTGTTGAAAGGATAGAGAATAACTCTATCTCGTCGCGCGTGGTTTTCTTTCTAGCGTACATGACGCCGCCGCTATTGAATGTGGGATACCCTTCTGTAAGCTGGTTTGATGGTGCGGAGGACGAAGACGAGAAGAGGAGTTTCACAAAGAGTGGACGGTAGGCTGGGGCGCAGGCAGACATCATGGCGACGTTTGCTTCGATTTGAGAGAGGAGGAGGATCTGAGATGGTGTTAGTCGCTCGTCGATGATAATGCGCATGATCTAGAGCAGACTCACAAATATGCCATCGTACCCAGCATCTTCAGTCACGGTATAATTGTAGAGAGCATAGAGACGCAGGATGGAGGCCAATGCGGCAATGCATCCTACCATGAAGATGCCCATGAGCGCGACTGTATCTCATGGTCAGCATTTAATCGTTTCCGTCAATCAATGGAGTATAGGTTGACGTACGACGCTTTCGTAGGTTCATGTTCAGCTGTTTGAACACTTTGAGCGGCATCACCAAGATGACCACATCGGTGACGATGTTCACAGATGCATTGGCGAAGTACATCTTTGACATGTTAATGCAGCCCTCGGGGAACTTGCTGTCCCACGCTCGTGATGGGTTGGCGCCGCATTCGAATATATTAACGAAGGTGACGGTGACAGTTTGTATGATGATGAAGCCTGCCGCACAATGCACCCAGCGTCGAAAATTGTGGTGTGTAAAGATGCGATGGTAGAGAGCTAGAATGCTGGCTTTGACGAAGAAGAGGGCCCATGGATAGAATAGCTGGTACACGTACCTGTTCGGAAGTAAGATTAGTATACCTGGGCAGCGAGTAGTAGCATAAGTGTTCTTACCAGTGTTTGAGGGTCGGTATCAAGGCTTCGTCAAGGTTGAGATCTTTGCTTTTCCGTCTGTCTGTGTCAGTCTGTGATGATCCCGATAGCATGATCAACTGCGACTTACCCAGTACCATAACTAATTTGGAGGCCACTCTGGATACTCAGCCCAACTGTGACTACCAAGGCGGCCAACATGAAGTAATCATCCAAACCCACATGACGGACTATCATCGCGCGGCAATACAGCCTGAGTGAGATTGCTATCAACGAGAAGAAGAGGAGCACAGTGATAGTGATAAGTACCGGTAACTGGCGCGAACCATTGTCCCTCGTGATATGGGTACCGTCGGCTCCCATAGTGAGGTCGATTGTGCACGTATATCTGGTAGTAGTGCCAGAAAACATCGCCAGGCATATGGTTATAAGACACAATGGATTGTCAACTGCGCCGCAAATGGCCTGGTCTACCGTGAGTCGTGCGCATTCCATGAGAACGGAAGCGAAAGGAGATCGATCTAACGAGATGAGCGATGAACCAATCTTATCACGTTGTGACAGTCATGATTTGCGGCTTAGGCCACAGCTTGCAAAGATGGCAGCCGTAGGGCTCAGCGAGCTGCCACGCCGTAAAGGTTATTTGTTGTGAGATGCTTGTTCAGCGAACTTCCCGACACTTCAAGGTTTCTGGCGCCCATAGCACGATACGTGGTGACTGAGAACATGACACATTGATAGGAATATGGGCAACTTTGCTGAGACGAAGATTTTGTTTAGTCATCTAGAATGAATTGAGCGGTGTTGACTGTGGGCGTCTTCGCAGACCTGATCGAAGAGGAAGGGATGATCTGCCAACGCTATCCCCATGGTCTAGTCCTAATTAGGTCACGCGAACCGCCCTAAAGCCTTGCCTTCCCCTTCCCCTTCCCCACCGTAGCGCATAATCAGATTTCCCATCGACACAGATGGAGCTCAGGTCAAACACATCACTACCTGTCTATTGCCGAATTATCTCATCAGTTAACACTCTAGCCATCAATTTCTAGGATGCCTCATCCATCCGTTGATGTTATCTGTGACGATCGAGTTTAACGAGTCACTGCGAGAGCGGGCGACCCCAGTTTATCTAGCGATCTGGTGGAGTATCACCTTTGTTTCGCTCCGCAAATGTATCGCCGCCATTTGGTATCTATCAAGATAACTAAAATATCGAAGACATATTCGTCGTTCAGCCGTTCCAGTCAGTCGCGAATTTCACAAATTTCCTTTGCCGCATTCGCGGCATCGGCACATATGGCCTGAGGATATACCGGCTCCGGTGATGCCTGACATCCTGCAGGATGCAGTTGCTTGCATCCCTTGCTTTTGCCGGCCCATTGCATGCGACCAAATTCGTCCCGTTCTCGAAGATCCAATCAGGCAGGAGATGCACCAGCCTGGAGGCGGACCGTATAAAGGACTACAAACAACCCAACGGTTTCTTCGAATCTAACCGGGGATCGAATCTTTACAATACCTCGGCACGACACCTCTCTTTGCGTAAGGGAGAGCCGTATGTGATGCATTCTTAGGTTCAGTATCGCAGCTCAGATCACCACGTGTTTACTGAATCATGCAAAGTGTCGGTTGCTATATTCCGGTGTCCAAATTGCATCCTTTGGACTCAACATGTGCTGTGCCACATTGGTGCATATACCTGAATCGCCGTACAGATGTGGAGCCCCCCGGACCCTGGTATTCCCACCACAGTGCGAACGTCTAAATCCAAGACAAATCCTATGCTTGCCGCACTTATACCCACATCGCAGCGCCATACATTAGCTTGTCGTGTTCCAAGGCCTGGAAGAGGCTGGATGCACGTTGAGCAGCGTTATTGAATCGATTGATGGACGCATAAGAAGCTCGAAGCCCATCGTTCTTTACATGACAGTGGATGATCAGTCTGCTCGCCTCACCTATAGCTAGCGGTTTCGATTGATATAGCAACTCCACCAGACACCATGGTCCAGCTTCAGCTCATTGTTTCGTGGCTTTGCTTGGCATCACTTCCATTTGCAGCAGCGCTTCCTGCAACCGATTCAGCCGTGTGCAAAAACCCTATTAAGCGGCTGGAATGGTAAGGTATCCCAGCTTTGACACACGATCGCTACTCTCTAATCAAGATGTCATCACAGGAGACAATTGTCAGACCCACAGAAACGCAGCTACATCAATGCCGTCCTCTGCTTAACGACTAAGAAGGCCAAGTCGGGAATTCCAGGAACTATCAATCGATTCGATGATCATCACGCTGTACATGTCAGTCAGAGTGACAGCATTCATTTTGTAGGACACTTCTTGCTATGGCATCGTTACTTTGTCGACACATACGAGAAAGCTCTTCGCGAGTGTGGTTATACGGGCGGTCAGCCGTACTGGGACTACACGATAGATGCAGAGCCTCAGAACCCCAGCTCTACCCGCATTTACGAATCTGAAATCTTCCAACCGGATACCGGCTTTGGCGGCAATGGTATCAAAGTCGAGCCTACCCCTGAGCAGAACTTTCTGAACCTTACTGGAGGAACGAGCGGAGGATGCGTTCAGACTGGCCCTTTTACCCCCGATAAGTTCATGGTTAACTATCCTGGCCCACCATCCTGCCTGCGTCGCGACTTCATGCCCCCTCTCCTCAACACTTGGGCAGATCCAAAACTGGAAAAGGCGCAACTTGAAGCACCAGATTTTGTAACCTTCGACCGCACGATGCAAGGCTCGAAAACTGTCTTTGCCCCAAATATTCATGGCAGTGGTCATTTTGGTGTTGGCGGCGTATTAGGACAGGCTGGCGACCCTGCCAACTCCCCTGGATAGCCATTGTTTTACCTGCATCACGCCAATCTAGATCGCATCTACTGGAAATGGCAGCAGCAAGATTTGGAGACTCGACTTCGGGAGGTTGGTGGACCTATCGTTGCGGAGAATTACCTTGGCAAGAATGTTACGCTGGATTTTGAGGTCAATATCGGAGAGCTGGCGCCCAGCAGGAAATGGGAAGATTTGATGCATGTTCAAGAAGGGCCATTTTGCTACACTTATTAGAAGTATCTAAACTCACTTTCCCTTGTTCTAGACCCTGCAATGTATGTTATGTGAGATGTTGACAATAACAAGATTCCAACCTTACAGCATGTACACAGATGGTCTCTTTCGCTCACTCGACAGTGATGAGTACCAATTAGCTGAACCATACCTGTAGTTTGCAACATTATGCTAACTACGTGTTTCGCAATCAGCTACATCTCCGCCTCGAGCAGTATATCGAGAACAGTTTCGAAGACATTCTCGATTCCTAGGTACCTTTTCGCTGAGCATTCGAAGTATGCCAACGCGCCGATCTTCTCCGCCATTGCTTCACCCTGCATTAACAATCAGTAGTGAAATTATTCGGCAATAGTGCAGCAGAAGGAACGGCTGATAGATATCGAGGTAGCTTTACTTACTTCCGCCATAGTTATTGGTGCCCGGCCTTGTTCTTTCAGTTCCAAGATTGTTTCGCCATCATATCGCAGATCTTGCTTTAGTCCCAATAAGAGGACGAGATCCCCTCCGCATATGTGTGGCTCAATCTCAGGAAGCCACTGACCATGTTTAGCACAGGATGAGAGGAGGAGGAGCTGCAAGACAGTGCTCTTACTTTTTGTACAACGTTGTGAAGTGACTCCCAATTGTCGATAGAGAAACACAGGCAAAAGATTTCTGTTGACGGATAACTTATCGAGCGAACCTGATGAGCTTGTCTTGTTGGTGGTGAAATAGCATTTAGGACATCATCATTGCCCACTGTATCCCACAGGGTGCACTTGAAGTCCACTTCGTGTCTGAATTGGAACGTCGCGAGGTGACTTTCGAAACCTGTTGGCTCATAGGGCTGTCTAGAGCTTAGTACGGAGTAGTGGTATCAGTGCTTCGGTGTCCCTCACTTCAGGGAAGGACCCATATGGACCCTTGATTGCAGAACTACAGATATATGTTAATTTCGAAACGGTTCCGGGACCGTACTCCCCGAGTCACTTACTTTATGAACCATGTCTTTCCGCACTTCCCATCGCCAACGAATGTCCAAACGCGCTTCACTTCAGAACAGACCTCTTCAGAGACTCTATTCTCGTCCACCATAATCTTATCTTCGCCTGGCATACTATTTTGGATGATCATATCCCCCAGCTCTTCCGTTTCCGCTTTGCGCATGCTAGATGATTCGAGAGGAGACTGTGCGTGACCATCACCGCTTGTAATTTCCTGCTGAGCGTTATCAGAGATAAGGCTGTGAGTCATTGGCGAACCCAGCATTATAGTGTGTTGCGAGGCCAGAGGACTATCCGCAACGCCGGTACTGAGATCTGGTAAGCGGGTCAGATGATCCAGGGAGACATCCGGCTCATCCTGTAGTGAAGCAAGCCATTCTGACATCAGCTTGTTTGGCGCTAAGCCGTTCACTTTCCAACCAAACTCAGACACGATATCAGACCCATCCCCACACTCTTCAACGAAATCGTCTCCAACTACTGTCGATGCAGATGCCACGACAGTTGCTGCGGTTCTGACGCAATGTTTGAGATGGCTTGCACTCGCGTTATTAGTGTCCTGTCGACTAAAATATTCATAGAGATCACGGGATTTCTCGAGCAATTCTGTGACATCTCGTGCGATAGTGCGCTGTTGGGAACTGGAAGATATTAGACAGAAACAATCGTATGAGTTACATAACTCACAACATCACAGACTGAAGTGAAAGCTGGAGAACGTCCTTGTAATCCTGGATGCTTTGCCTGTACATGCCGATCTGATCATTTGCATCCTTGAGCCGAATTGCACGTCGTGTCGAGCTCATCCACCTCACATCTTTGTTGGTAGATACAAGTAGTGCTTCTAGCCTCTTCAGAGAGTCGCATCTATCATCTAGGTTTGTCTTCAACGATACCCAGTGTTCACCGATATGGCCAGTCAGAGGCGCTCTGCTGTCCAAGTCCTCTAAACCATCTTTGATTGTATTGAGAACAGTCTCGAGAAGTTTCAGATCTGCTAGCATTGCATTGATGTTATCTTTTGCCTCGGTTGCGCCATTTTGAAACTTTTTGAGCTCGATGACTGTTTTGCCAGTTAGGTGAATTAACGGAAGGACACCCAAAGATATCGAAAATGGGTCCATGGCGGACAGGAACAAAGTAAATGAGCAGACCGTAAGACAGTTTGGCGGACAAGATTGCTGTAATCAATTATCTATAAGCTCGAGTTGCTGGGCGCGGGGTACTGAAGGTGCAGCACAAGGCAGCCTTCGACCTGGCGAGACGCCTCCCCATGGGCAGTGCAGTCCCAATCAGGGTGCCGATTCATCTATTAGCACAGTAACATGACCTCTGATAGGACACTCCACTCCCATCTTGCAGGAAACCGGTCAGGTTGGGTTGCGAAAGACGCAGTGGTAGTAGCACAAAGCCAGCACATTGCATATACGATTCATGATCGTAGACTCCTGGAATATTTTGCGCAGCTAAGAGAGCAAGCGCAAGGATAAGAAATACAAAGAACAAAGCGAGAGAACCTGACAGGGCCATCTCGACATAGAAGCAACACTCCGCCAGTAGCTGCGCTTAATCATCTCTGAATCAGCCCCGCGCGCCAACTTAGCCGAACCTTCAAAACTTCACACACAAGCAACCACTCTAGCATACCTTCTCTTATTCCTCCACGCCGAACGTTTCCAAAACCGGGCTTTGCAGCCGGACTTGAAGTCAATTCGACCTTCAAGTTCGGCTGCCCGATGTTTTCAACCACCTTGATCGTTCACAGAACAATTGATCGCCTTTTTGGCTCAACTAACCTCTTATCATTCAGTTCATAGATCAGCCAGCAGATGTACTACCTACCGTTCACACACTCTCTCATATACCAATATTCAGTACATAGTCACCGAAGCAAAAGAGAATGGGAAACCACTCTATCCAATACCCACAAGTCTTCATTACCACCACCACCATCCATCTATTCATCCTCCTCCTCTTCCTCCTGCTCCTTATTAACACCCGGCGGCATCGCCGGTATACTAAAATCCTCCAAGCTAGCCCACTGACTACTCTTTCCCCATCCACTCCCAACACCCGTCGCCTGCGTCATCCCAACACCCCCATCCAACAACGGACTACTACTCCCCCACGCCTTCTCCGGACTAGGAAAACTGCTCGGTATGAACAGCGGCGGCGGCTTGTTCGGCGACGAGAAAAGCGCAGGTTGAGAGCTCGGTATGCGATGGGGCGTTGTATGCGTGCTACCAAACTGCTGAGTGCGCTTGTGGCGGGGTGTGGTGTGAGTGCGTTGTGTGATTTCGTCGACGGTAGTTGCTTGGCTGGGGTGGTATGCCGATGCTTGTTGTTGTTGACGCGAAGGGGGCGCTGTGGTCTGAGTTTGATGGGGAAGCCGAGGCGTCGCGTTGTAACTGAATGCATCGGGTGCTGCGCGGATACTGGACGATTCGGGCGGGCGTGTGTGCACGTATTGCGAGTAGGAGAACCATTCGTTTTGGAGCTGTTGCTCTGCTTTGCTGGAGTGTGACTCTTGCGTTTCATGTTCGGGAGAACGAGGGACTTGGATGGCTGGGTCGTCGAGATCAGTTGACGGCTGGATTGAAGTTAAAGGAGGTGGGGGTAGTTGTCGCCTGCTTGATTGCGGTGGCGTTGGATTGGGTGATGTATAGGGTTCCTCCCAAGATGAATCATCGTTGATGACCATGGGTGTAGATGGACACGTGTACTGGGGGTATTCTTCGATGACTGGAGGCGTCGATCGGAGCTGCTCTGTTTCCTGAGGTAGTCCTCCTTCAGTACTCGTGGTTATGTCGCTTGCGGTTCGGCTTTCGTCATTTGGTGGGTTTGAATGGATTGTGGGTAGTATTGTCGCATCTTCGTCTTCATCTTCTTCATCATCGTCGTCATGCTCAAGTTCTTGCTTGACAGTAACTGACTCCATGGATTGCGACGAGCTTCTTCCAGTTGAGGATTTGTTTGGCTCACCGAGCTCAGGAGAAGGTTGGTTGTCACTTCTTAGCGCGGGCAGATCATCTGATTCCTGTGATGACCTAGATTCGCCCTCGACATCCTCCTCATCTGCATCAGCACATGCCTGATCGATCTGATTAAGCATTGCTTGAGTGTCAGCGCCAATAAGCTTGCCAGACGCAGTGTCAGGCCGACTGAAGAACAATCGTGCACCCTCATCCTTGCGATGTTTGTTCGCAGGTAAATCTTCCTCAATCAAGTCCTCGTCCTCGTCTTCAGAGTCTTGGATCGTGCTTTCAAACTTCCTCAGTGTCGGCGGAGGTATCGGCGTCTTTGATGGCATTTTGAATGTCACCTGCTTGCGTTTCGAGGGCGTGTCCGGTGCTAATATCGGGTTGCTGGAGCATGCCTTGAGGGGTGATCGATGTAGTTTCTGTGGGGAAACCTGAGTCGACAGGGGTGAATCAGCTGGCGATTGGGAAGAAGGAATCACGCGAACACGTCGCTTTTCTGGAGTTGATAAAAGGCTGAAACGGGCTTTGCGAGTCTTGTGCTGCTTCTGCGGGCCGTAAGAAGCGTCTCCAGTCGCCGTGGCTGGCGGTACATTTCTACGTCTAGTTGCCCGGGTTGTTCGTGTGACAGGAGCCTCGATAAACTGTGTCGGTTTGTAGCTGTCTTCGCAGTCTTCACCCACCTCGTCTTCCACTGACTGTACCACCACGTCAGGAGTGTCTTGCGAGTCTACTGTGGGCTCTTTCTTGATATATTGATCTTCCGAATTCTGTTGTATATCCCCTACAATATCATCTGCAGCCTCCTGTTCTTTGACGCTATTGCCTTCAATACGATGAAGTCCTTGTCGTGCGAGTCGCTGCGCTACAGCATCCCCGTAGGTCTGACTATCCCGCTGTTCTGCCTCATCATCGCTCAGTGCCTCATCCAAGTCCTCATCAGACATGACTTCTGGTGCTCGCATACGCGGTATCATCTGCGTCAACGTGCGCTGCTTTCTATCGTTTTCGCTTTTGCCACGTCCCCAGCTCAAGCGCGAGCTCTGTTTGACAGGCTTGAACTCAGGTCCCTCGGAATCTGGCAGTGGCTTCCTCCCATCTACCAGCTGTGTCATTGTAGATTGCCGACGCAATGTACGTTCTCGATTGGTTTTGATCGCTGTCGCGTCGTTCGCATCATCGGCATCGATTGCCACGCGTTTCGAGCGACGATGATTCTTGGGCGAGACAACTGTTCGTCTGCGCTTTGACGTAGGTTCTACCGGCTCTTCGTCTTCACCACTATCTTGTGGCAATACACCGCTACTCCTCTTCTTGGTCTTGCCCTTCGTCTTTCTTGCCGAGGGCTGCTCTTCTTCCTCTTTCACCCGCGGCTCGATTGGAACTCCTCCATCCTCTAGGTCTTCTTCCAGATCTTCATCACTGTCCTCATCCGAGTCTGCGACTACGGGAATACTCCTTGTCTTCATTTTCTCTGGCAAAAAGATCATCTGCCGCTTTGCGTCATCTCGAACTGGCGACGAGGGCCGACGCACTATCTTGCGCTTGTGTGGAAACTGGACCTGTTGCGGCACTTTCTTCGAGTAGTAGACTTTGTAGTCGGCATCTCTATTGCTCGAACGCGTCCGTGGTGTCATTGTGGGTGGAGTATCGATAAGGTAGGGAAGTTGGTACCTTGGTGACGCGACAGCGACGCGTTGAGGGGACTAGCGCGATGACAGGGGCACGCGTCATCGCCACCTCACCCTCAGCCCATATACGCCCGTGATCGAAGCAAGTCATCAATGCGAGCATGCGCAGTCATGTCTTGAATGTTTGACTCTGCTATGGCTGTCAAGCATTGCTTGTTCACTGTTTGCTTGAATCTGAACAGACTTCAGATATCGACGTCATAGACGCCAAAACTAATATTCTTGCCATGTCGCTATGTGAATCCCTGTCCCGAGCTTGGCTTATTGAACTCGTCACAAATCACGCATCTCAATGTTTGGAAGCAAATGTGAATGCGCACCGCCTCCATTGCTTTCGCGATCCCATGCCCACCGCTTTGCAAGAGAAGGGTCCAGTGTGCCGTCCAGCATCGCGACAACATAGCGGCCGATTGTAGGCATAAATTTCCAACCATGGAATGAACCTCCAGTTGCTAGATAGAGACCCTGACAGTGTGGTTGTGGAGTGATGATGAAGTCTTGGGTAGGGGTTACAGCATCCCTAGATGGGTTAGTCTGTCGTATTGCGAAGAACGTGGTTGCGCGGGAAGGACGGTCCCGAGGTCGTCACGGGTGGAACGTTGGAAAGAGGTGCAACTTACCAACAGACACGATATTCGTCAAACTTGACTTCCTTCCCTGGCTCGCCCAGTATACCGTCTTTAACGAGATCGAGACGTTTCTTTAGACCTTCGTTTGGTCGCCTTTGTGCCTGGTTAGGCTCACTCGGTGGAGAAGAGAACTCTTGACCCGATGCCTCGTGTTTGATTGTGTTTTTGTAGGCTTCGTCTCTGCAAAATTTGACTGTATATGGCTCTTTCTCGGATAAAGGTGCTGTCAATGGCATCACCTCTCCTGGAAGTCGTCAGCATCATGCTATGTGAGAGTTCCAGGTGTCTTACCACGTGTGGGTGGGACCCCATGTACAGTCACTGGTATTTTGGTATACTGTTGGCCGTGTTTTGGATCGAGGTTGACGATACCAGTGATCACGGCTCCAGCAACGAGGCGGTCGTTGACTTGCAATTCCTTTCTGCTAGGCGCACTGTCGGCAAGCAGTTTTGCTGTTCCTGCACCAGTGGCTAGGACGATGCGGTCTGCTGTAATGTTGGTACCATCCTTGGTTAGAACTCCAGTGCATCCGCCGTCAGTACCGAACGTCAAGACATCGATCTCCTTTGCAGTGTATTTGACACCAGAATTTATTGCTGCATTAGTATAAGCGGTAAGTGCTTTGGCAGCTTCAGCCCATCCGCTGTCTTCATTCACAAACACATCTTTGGCGTTTGAGAAGTCGGTATGCTCGAAAAAGGAACCGTACTCCTCCTTGAAGCGGTCTGGGCTGACAACCTTTGCATTGACCTTCACACCGAGCTTCTTGTAGTTTTCCAACGTGTCCCTGCCCAGATCGGAATTGTTAATTTTGATTATGCCGCTTTGGTAATAGAACGGTTTGAAGAGTGGGTCTTCTCGCCACAACTGTATAGCCTCCAATGCTTTCTCCATGTAAAAGAGATCTCCATAGTCAGCACGCACGACTTTGTTCCAGTCCCAAGATGCGGCGAGTTGGCAGGGGTACTGTGTTCGGTCCACTAGATGTACGGAAGCTTCGGGGTATTTCTTGATCAGATGGTAAGCGGTAGAAACACCAAATACTCCAGCCCCAATGATCAGATAAGATGGCTGTGAGCTCATTGCGTGTGGTGGTTCTGGAGGTCGTTGCCTAGCCCGATGTTGGTGGCTGAATGGGTGGAACGGGGCGAAGCGAGAGAGGTTTCGGTATGACGAAATCGAGGGCTTGGCTATCTTGGATAAGGCAATCATGAGGCGGTCAACACGAACCTGAAGGCTGCATAGTTATAGCTTTGTCCTGATGGCGCACTGCACTCAGGCCGAGAAGTCGTGATCGCTGCTATGATAAAAGCGACTAGCGTTCTTTCCTCAATGCTAACGCATGCAGGCGCAGCCGTGATGACCATGTAGGTTGCCGCCACGGTCGCTTGCCAGTTCTCTCATTCAACGACAGGGTTCCCCGCTTGCTTTCCTTATCCCCCATCAGCCTTAATGAGAGATAATGCGCCAGCCAATAACACTTCCGGCGAAATGTAAGACACACACGTGTAGTGACTCTGCCCAGGCATACGTCCACCCGATTATAGATGTAAATGAGAGAAGTACGCTTACCATTTACGTACCCTCGTTTTCAGCCGCGACCGCTCAACATCGTCAGCATCGTCAAGCTCGAGGGCACTGTCGTAGATCTGAGCACTTGATGCTCCCCATGTGCGTTTTGCTGCCTACAATTTGGTTAACATGCTTCGCATCGCGAGCCCGAGATCAAGTCTCTTGGATAATCACTTCGATCGAAGGTCGTCCTATGTGGCTGTCCATTAATCTTAAATATAACAGATGAGCGCTTTGTCATGAATATTGCCTTGTAAGCAAGGTCTTGTCTATCGATGGAGGGTTGCAGGTTGTGGATTAGCACAAGCACATTAGGATCTCACTTCCCGAAATCGATATCGAATCTAGCGACAGATTTCGATCGGGAAGTGAAGTCAAGGCGTTTTGGTGCGGCTTACCGGTCATCGTCCCGTTTGACGTGAATCCCTGGACACCAAAAGCAACGCACTTGGAAAAGCCACTGCCACGTCTGTACTCTTCAGTCCCGGCACGCGCCCTACTTCAGTATTTGCCAGGCCTCCGTGCACCAAGTTTGAAGCTGAGTTGATTTAAGAATCTGACAGGGTGGCTGGTTCAAGTAAGCGATAGGATGATAAAAAATGAGAAAACTAGATGTGAGGCGGACTCCTGTGCTACAGTACACCAGACACATGTCATGTTTCAGAGAGTGACGAAGTAGGGTTGTAGACGTTGTATAAGTGTGACAGAAACCTCCGCTCAAAGTTCCTATCAAGTCATTTCATCGTCTTCCAGTCTTCCTATTAAGGTTCAGTAATCTCTGCTGTTGAATATGCCTACTTCGACTACCTCTTCACCCTTGTCGTCCTCGGAGAGTTATGCAAGCGGCGCTACAAGGAACAGAGATGGTTCCTTCGCAATCCGGAGATGGATGGATGATACGGAAGGCGATCGCGTAGCGGGAAGGCACGTCGTGCTGTCTTCAACCTTCAATCACAGTTTGACCCCGTCAAGTTCCCGGGAACAAAGATCGTCTATGAGAAACTCCAGTAAGAACCAATCGTATTGTGAGAAATCACGCGAGCTGGATTTGACTGAAGTCGGAGCGTGGTGCCACTTAGATCAACTACGGTAAGTCGATATAGGAAGAGCACGATCCTCATTGTTGCTGACATCGTCTAGGATGGCAAACGACGATCCAGATAGGTCTAAGTCGTATCAAGTACCGGAACCTGAGTTGCGTGGCGCGGTAGGCGAGCTGCAATGCGTATGTAAACGTTTACAAAGCATCATCGAAAGTTTGGACAGAACAACGTAGGAGAGGTATCCACCTTGCGGTTTAATTTCCATGCTCCTACTACTTGTATGAAACTAGAAGATTCTGAATTCATGTAGCGGGCGTTGAGTGGGATCTTATTTTGTCCTCGGCAGGAGATATGAGTGGTATTAGATCAGTATTTAGACCGAGTGATTTGTTGATCATCTTGTGAATACAGCAAGTGTACCAATAAACCAGTAAACCCACGAGCATAAACATTAGACTGAGGAGTGGTAATTGGATAAACTCTCCGGTGCTGTATGTCGTGTTTTAGCTTTATGCCGTTCAAGCTGGTCGATACGCGCGAAACCCTTTGTGTTGGTACAGCCTGGGATGTCGCATTTGAACATACGCTCATGCAACTGCCAATGCGCCCTTCATCGAGATTTAGCTAGCGTACCATGTAAAGACTAGGATGCGGCATGCTGCTCAGTCTGGCGCGGTTTTACGATAAAGCGGCAGGATATCTTTTCAGATGGTATTTGGAACGTACCTAAAAGCAGAATTTCTTTCGTAAACAGTCAATTCCCCATCTGGTTGAACACCGCCTTTGTCGCATGCAGTACCATGCGGACACGTGTAGTGACCTTTACCACGAGCTTTGAGTTGTTCTATCGAAGGTACTTCTGTAACTCGCTCTTCAGTATTGCGAGGTGAGAATTTATGAATGTCCTGCCAATCGTTCGAAGAGGCACGATTGTGACTTGCTTCTGCAGAACTTTCAGGTGCTTCGACGTACGTACGGTAGTCAGTAGCCTCGGATGACATAGTTGCCATAAAATGATCCTCTGATCCAGGGGAAATAATATGTGTTTCAGGAGTCTCGATTGGCACAGATGGAACGAGAACCGGAGATGGGGCAATTGAGAACAGTATCCACTCGGCCTGACAATCTGCTCGAATGCGTTAGCTAAACGCCTAGTTATTTATGTTCATCATTACCACGCCGCCCACGCGGGCCTGATCCACACTGATCGATAGGGTATAAGATCGACTTGCCTTGCAAAGTGTTGGAAAGATTAACCTTGATATTCCTCGATGATTGTCAGTGTCCACTCATGACTTTACGAGTTTATACGCAGTGCACTACCTCAACGCTTTGTGCTTGTCATCTAGCAAATTCGCCGTGTGGCAATCAACCTCCGCTTCCAGTTCCCCTGTTTGTTCATCTATGTGGTTTGAGATAACATCTCCCATCACTAAGCTTTCCGAGAAAGTGGCAAGGACATGAAGCACCCGCAAAAGGTAATTGCCGATGTCTGTTAACGGGCAACCCGACGGGCTGACAGGCCACCCACCTGTTGTGGTCAGCCCAGAGAAGTTGGCCATCAGGTGTTGGTCGATCCAGTTTGGCTCCAGGCGGATATTCTCGAAGAACTGGCGCGTTGAGGCATCCATGCTGGTGGGGCGATTAGCGTTCAGCTCTGAGCGATGCAGCAGTTGCGCTGCGCCTGTCTCCTCATTGCTA